ACCAGGAAAACACCCATGCAGCCAGCCCGTTCGCAGGATTCGAACCTCGGACCGAACTACCAGTGTTCAGCAACGTTACCACTTGGCCGCTGGTGGGCCATAAAGGTTTAAAAAAATGGATAAAGGTATATCCATCTCAGAATCTCGAGGAGTATAACATGGGAAAATAACTGTATATGACATAAGAAAACACAAAAAGGAACTTTTTGAATTTTTTAGGAATTCCGACACCTCACTGGCAACAAAAACAGGAAAAATTTAACAAATTAAATTGAAAAATTATTCGTTATGCTAAAAGTGATGACTGAGTGGGTCAGACAGCGTCACAGCGAGGGCATGTCATTGACAGGTCCTAATGGCTCAAGCTAAAATATTTCATGAAGAAATGAACATAAAAAATGAGTGCACATACAAATTCGACAAATTGGTTAACCAAATTTAAAAATTGCCATGGTAAAAGGCAATTAAAAATTTCAAGTGAAAAAGCTCCAGCTGATACTGAAGCTGCTGAAATATTTGCAGATGAATTCATTGAACTCATTAATAGTGAAAAGTCATCTCCAGAAAAAATTTACAACTCTGATGGTTTGGTTTATTGAGATTACAGCAAAGCACACTAGGGCTATCTGCCTAAGGGAAGGGATGCCTTCGTGGAGGACTTTCTAAGGGAGACTGGCTCGTATACATGTACAACCCTGATGAAACTGGTCTTTTCTGGCCATGAACTGGCACTGCAAAACACCTTGGCAACCTCTACAGAAAAGGCTCCAAGTGTCAGAGATTCCAAAGACTAACAATTTTAGCATGTGCAAATGCTGCAGAAATGCACAACTGTAAACTTTTCGTAATCGAAAAAAATACACGACTTCAAGCATTTAAAGAAGTAAAGATTTTCCCCATTATATATCATGCAAATAAAACAGCATGGGAAAACACAAGCATTAATGGATGATTGGTTTGAAAATAATCTCATACCCGAGGCTCGGCAACATTTCAATTTGGTTGATTTACCTAATGACGCAAAAATTTCCCTGAATGTAGGACAACTGTTCGGCTCACATTTCAATTAAAGTTTTAGTGAAAAATAATACATTCATATTATTCTTTTCTCCAAACTGTATGTGAATAATTCAGCCTATAGATATCAGGTGAGTGCACACACTGAAATGCAAATATAAAGTAGCATTTTAAAAATCCATGTTAAATTTCTTAAATAACAGCAAAAATATTCAAGAATTATTGAAATATTTTAACACAAAATCTGCTGTGTGGAGCATTGCAAGACCACAGGAGGATGTGTCTTCAGGTACTTTAACACACTGACTGCCACGGCACTTTTCGGGTTCTGGCCCGAGAAGCCAAATCGATTTAATCATATTATATTATTAAAAATACTAATTATGATTCGTAACAATCATTAAAAAGTTTAAGTTTTTTTTTTGTTTTTTTTTCCCCAGAAAAAAGGGTTCTACAAATGATCTTGTCATCGGCTTTTGTTAGACAAAGCTCTTCGCAGAAGCCCACTACGAGTTGATTCATACAAACATGCTCCGAATCGTTGCCTCGGTACAGCTAAAACAAGCGCTAAACGAGTAATTCGTTTCGGCGCAAAAGTGGCAAGTTAAGAAACTACAAGATAACTCGTATTGGGCATCCTGAAGAAGAGTGCTATTACAAGTTATCTCGTGTTGGGTAGTCAATGTGTTAAAAAATGCTAGGCGTAATTGATGGCCAGCTACCATATTTCATGGTAGGAAGCTGAAGATGATAGCTGCAAATTTGAAAGTTTTTGGATATTGCAAACCAAAGGACAAATTTTCCAATTAATGGATTCCGTAAAGAAATGTACAGAAGTGGTAATAAATGAAGATGATATAACAGAAATTTTTTATTGCAATGAAACCCAGTCATCAATCAATTAACAGACGGCAAAATTTGTAGTATGGTTCTAGATTCAGAAAATACCGCTACCAATAGTGAAGAAAGTGATAGAGGGATTATTGAAAGCAAAATAATTTAGATTGACAACTTAGTCGGAATGCTTGACACAGCAATTACAGGACTTGAAAAATGAAACTTTGTAACAACAAGAAATTAAGTCTGTCTACAGAATTAAAGAGAAAATATTAGCACAAAAACGAAGCCACTTAAACAACTTACATTGAAAGAAATGTTAAATAAAATAAACAAATAAATATTAAGCATTTTCTTTTTCTAAATTTTGATATCCTTTAGATTATAAATACTTCATTATTTCATAAGTCACGATTTCATATTTTTAATTTTATAATTTCTACATCTTACCAAATTTAAACTGATGATCCAATATCCAGCAAAATCTTAAATCCAGAATTCCAGAAGTTCCCACAAGTCTGGATCTCAGACTTTGTACTGTAATAATTTTTCTGGACTGCATATTTCTATTTTATGCTTACTTATGTAATCCTTTTGCATTATGACAGCCCATACCCAATCCTAGATCCAGAATTTAAGCAAAGAGACCAAGTCTACAAATGTTACTTCTACTACTGCTCATCCCTTTTTCTGTGCTTTTCTTTGCTGCTGGCCATACAGAGTTTGCTTTCTGCTTTGCCTATAAAGATGTAAAGCTGTGCAAAACTGTGTGATGCATCTCGGATCCATAAATGATGCTGAGTGAATCTATTAATGCATATCAAGGCTTGTTCTATTACGAAAAGAAAATTATGTGCTTAAATCATTGGCCACATTTGAAAGCTTTTTTCTCCATTCTCTTATCTAAAGTAAACATGCAGCTGTTGTTCGAATCCTCTACTGAATTATTACACACACACATATATATATAATACTGCAGCTTCTTACACAGTTACACTTAAGCAATTTATAAATTTGACTAGGATAAAATTCAAGTTATGCAAAATTTTAAAGAATACACTACTTACATAGCTCAAAAGGTTTATTACATTAAAAACCTCTTTTCATATTCTTATTGATAAATACATACAAAACATCACATTTGTAACACATCATGCAAACATTAGAAAGTAGATAAAATATAAAAATATCACAGCTTTAATAAAAGAAAAAAATTATCTTTACAAAAATGTATTAGCTGCAATATAATATTTTTCAGTTCTATGCAAAAAATTTTATAAAATGCCAGCTGTAAAAAATGAAACCATATGATGTGTATAATATAGTTCAACGGCATTGCTGATACAGGGTGATCAGCGAATAAGCCCTGATTTCAAAATTAAATATCTCTACAATAAAGATCGATAGAATTATGCGGTAAACTGTACGTTTATTAGCAAAGCTGTAAAAATGGTGTACAAAAGTTTAGAAAATTTAGTTATAAAATTCGTTAACAGATGGTGCTCTAATCGCAATGGCCTATCAATAGCCTTTAAAACGTGCTTCGAAGGCGAAAGTGATCAATACAAATGTTGGCTAGTGAAAAGAGGCTAGCGTAGATGTGAAATAATGTATTCCACTGAAAACGTGTATTTTGGTTCTGAAATTTCACCAATTAGAACACAGTCCTACGGCAACACGTCACAGTTTTCGAAACCAATTCAAGTTGGACCCGATGCGAAAACCATTCGCATGCTGTTCGCAAAATTCGAATGGCCTGGCAGCGTGACTGATGATCGAAAGGGAAATGTTGAGCCTAAGCAAACTATAGTCACGCCTGAAAATGCAGCCAAAGTTTCTGGATTTGTTCAGCAAAATCCTAGGAAAAGCATCCGACGTATTGCATCAAAGACAGGTTTGAAGTACACGAGCACACAAAAAATATTTAAAAATAGCCTACGGCTGTTTCCATACAAAATCCAAAGTCATCAGGCCATACCCATGAAAGCTGTGCAACAAAGGGCTGACTTTATGAATCAGATTCTAACAACGATCGACAACGGCAGATTTGATGCGAGCTGCATCTGCTTCACAGATGAAGCACATTTTCATTTGAATGGAATCGTTAATAAGCAAAACTGAAGATTTTGGGGTACTGAAAATCCTCATTTGTGTGAAGAAAAGCACTGCATTCGCTTAAAGTTATGGCATGGGCTGCGGTATGCGCCAGAGGCATTATCAGACCCTTTTCCGTACGAGAAACGATAACTACTGAACATTACATTACAATTTTGGAACAATTTGTCAGCACTCAACTAGCGTTGGAGGATTGACCAGGTATTGACTGGTTCCTGCAAGATGGGGCTCGACCACATTGATCAAATAAAGTTTTACACTTTCTTCATGAATATTTTAGGAATAGAGTAATTGTGTTAGATTATCCTCAATTTACTGACACAGGAATAGCTTCGCCTCCATATTCTCCCGATCTGAGTCTTGTGACTTCTTTCTGTGAGGCGCATTGAGAGACGATGTCTATCGAAATAATCCTGCTACTCTAGATGAGCTTGAATCGTTGATTGGTGTTGCATGTGATTCCATTTCCATCCAGACATTGCAAGACGTGATGTCAAATTTCATTGTTTGTTTACGCCACCTCATTGTTTCGAACGGTGAACATTTTGAAAAAGTTGCATTTTGATTGCAAAGGCTGCTTCACTTTATTTTTTAACTAATTTTTTTTACTCCTTTCCGAGAAAGAGTTTTCAGTGCAGAGCGTCATCTGTAACGATTTTTGTAACTAAATTTTCTAAATTTCTGTACACCATTTTTACAGTTTTGCTAATAAATGTACAGTTTACCACATAATTCTATCGAGTTTTGTTGTAGATATATTTAATTTTGAAATCAGTGCTTATTCACTGATCACCCTGTACTTATCATCTGATAGCCAATTAGCATTTTTCATGCTAATATTCATTAAAATATTTATTTGTTTAAACTTTTGTCTTGTTTGATATCTTTCCAAAACTTGAAATTTTGTATTAATAACTTTAGTCTAATTTTAAATTAACATATCAGAACTGAGAGAAAATTAACTAAAGCTAATAAAGAAGGGGTAAAAGTCATAATATTTGATGTATTATTTATATTATTAGCAAACTTACTTTTAAATTGCAAGGCAACTCTTTTTTAGTTTCCCTGAATGCAGAAATTGCATGAAGCCATGCAAGAACAGGACCTTTATCATCAGTTGCTCCTCTTCCATAAAGTTTACCATCCTTTTCCGTTAAAACAAATGGGTCAGTATTCCAACCATCTTCCTTTTATATACATAAAGGAATAATGTAGATAATTATATTTTTCAGAAGTCACAAAGTAAATCTTCAAAAGCTATACTAAATTTTCACGCAATTTTCATACAAACACATACCTAAACAAAGCATTTTTAATTAAATTTTTCTTTGAAACCTACAAGGTTACTTACATATTATTGCAACCAACTTAGTAGAAGTCACCAAATAATCAGAAATTGCCAAACTTTCACAACCACACACATAAAACATTTTTTAGGCAACCAATTCTCAAAACAGTCTTTCATTCAAGCAATGTCATCATTTCTGTATGCATTTTGTTATATTTCAAGTTTGAACATTTTTGTAGACAAATCATGATATTTTTTAATAAAATTTTAAAATGTTCACTTGTAGAATTTGCCAGCAATGGGAGAAAACTGCAGGAAAATTTATGAAGGAATATTTTGCCACAAAATTGCTAAATGGAACAGCGATAAGATGTGTTTGACCAATAGCCTGTTAGCAGTGCCAAAGTTATGCATGATACTGGGTTTGTGCAATTCTCTGATGTGTCCCCCCCCTTTTTAAGAGAAAACAGATCACTGTATACATAGGAAAAACACAGCAAAAATTACAGAACGATTTTGAGAAAATTGTAAGCATTTTATTTTTTAAATGTATCATATAATTCTTACTTAATGATTAAAGTTTGCATTTTAAACTGCTAAAGTATTTTTTCTTTTGGTATGTTGATAACATTTGCATGATAAATATCGATAATTCAGAAATTTTTTTAAAAGAATTGGTGAAAATTACCAACTTGTATCTGATAAGTAACTTTTCAACTGTAAAAAAACCACCAAATGTTCAAAAGTGTTTGTGTTAATATGCAAGTACACCTAAAAATATGCTAATTTAATAAATGAAATTTCCTAATAGCACTGAAAAAAAACTTTCTTCTCATTATATGTTAAGATTTTAAAGAAAAATTTTTTTCATTCATTTTTTGTTAGTTTGTTAGCTTAAAGTATATCAAATTATTCGTTTTATTTCAAATAATATATTTTTTGGTACTTGGTAAAACTGCACATAGTATACATGCAGATGCACATACTATATATGCAATGCATACACATGGATTTGTACTTTTTATATTTAACCATCATTTCACTGAATAGCTTCATACACACTCTTAGACAAAAAAAAAAAAAAAAAAAAAAAAGACGCACCAAGAAAGAGTTATCCGAATAGAATGAAAATCGGTAGAAGTGATGTACATGTAGAGAAAAACAAATGATTACAGTTTGAGAAAAACTGGATGATTTATTGAAGTGCTAGAGGTTCACAAAGTGAAAAAGTCAGTAACGCGTTTGTCCACCTCTGGACCTTATGCAAGCAGTTATTCAGCTTGGCATCGATTGATAGAGGTTGCTAATGTCCTCCTGAGAGACATCGTGCCAAATTCTCTCCAACTGGCGCGTTAGATCATTAACATCCTGAGCTGTTTGGAGGGCCCTGCCCATAATGCTCCAAAAATGCTCAATAGGAGAGAGATCTGGTGACCTTGCTGGCCAAGGTAATGTTCGAGAAGCAGTAGAAACATGTGCAGTGTGGGGGCGGGCATTATCTTGCTGAAATGTAAGCCCAGGGTGGCGTGACATGAAGGGCAATACAACGGGCCTTAGAACTTCGTTGACGTATCACTGCGCACCACATTTCGTACCACATTTCTGCACATGGAAATTAAGTACTTTTAAGGACCATTAATGAAAAAAATTAAGGACATATGAGCAAATAGCAAATTAACACTAAAAGCGCCGTTGGGGTCATTTTGACCTTTTTTTCCAATTTTCCGCGTTTTTTTTTTTAGCATACAGCTGAGCTTCGAAGCTGATATTTTTTTACTTTTTCTAAAATGTTTCCAAGTATACTATGCCAATTTTTCATATTTCTACGTTAATTAATTAAATAAATAATCGCAGATATACCTAAAACAGCCAACTGGGGTCATTTTGACCCTCATAAGAAAAAAACGAACGAACTGAGCCACGTTTCAAACATGCAGCTCTTATCGTGATGACTCAAAATTTTGCAGATGATTTGTGGAACAAGAATTGAGGACCACCTGTGTTCAAAGAAACAATGTCACGCAATCGGTTCCGTGAAATAATGCGGTATCTCAGATTCGATGTCCGAAGCACCAGAGCTGATCGTCTCGCCACTAACAAATTTGCTCTCGCTTCTGAAACCTGGTACAAGCTAATGGAAAACTGTTATTTATGCTATAATCCTGGACCAGAAATAACCGTTGATGAACAATTGTTGCCTTGTAAATCAAGATGTAGATTTATTCCAGTACATGGCGAATAAACCGGACAAGTTTGGCATCAAATTCTGGCTAGCAACTGATGTAAAATCCAAATATGTTTTGAATGGTTATCCTTATCTGGGCAAGGATGAAGAACGACCAACTAATTTACAACTTGGGGAAAGTGTAGTTCTCAAATTACTGCAACCACATCTAAACTCCGGACTCAATGTCACAACTGACAATTTTTTTACTTCTGTGAAACTTGCAGATGAACTTTCTGCGAAATAAACCACAATTGTCGGGACGATGCTTCTGAATAAGCGAGAATTACCCCCTATTGCTCGTGACACTTCTTCGGCACGATATTCATCTTTTGCACTGAAAAATGGAGACAAAACACTCACAATATATAGGTGCAAGAGCAAAAAGAATGTCGTGATTCTGAGCACGATGCACAGTAATGTGTTTGTTGACGACAGCATAAAGAAAAAAAACCGAACACTGTCACTTACTACAACAGTACAAAATGTGGCGTTGATGTCGCAGATCAGATGCTGAGGAAATATAGTACAAGTAGTGGAAGTCGCAGGTGGCCTGTACATGTTTTTTACAACGTCCTTGACATTGCTGCACTCAATGCTTGGATTATATTCAAAGAATCCTTGGGCACCTCTATTTCCCGTCGAGAATTTATTCTTGCACTCGTGGAAGAACTACGAGTTGGTGCACTACGCAACAGATGCCCCCCCCAATTGCTCAAATACAGACACTTAAACGAAAGAAATGTGCATTTCAAAGTTGCAAGGGACAAAACAAGACTGTTGTCAGCTGTGAGGGATGCCAGAAACCAATTTGTGGTAAATGTGTTGCTGTCACTGTCAAGCGTTCATATTGTATCACCTGCGGTAATGTATAACAAACTTTGGAAAACATTGCGTGTTTATTCCCAATTTATGTTTTTTGTAATTTTTTGCATATGTTCTATTTTCCTCTTTTTGCATTTGTATCTTTTGTTTGTTTTTCAAAGATTTTGTTTTTGTTTTTGTAATCTTACATTGAAAGATATGTGCTAATTTGCACTAATTGCACGAAAAAAAATTCTAAAGTATAAAAAATAAATAAAAACCTCTAAAAACTCTTTTATGTGGTCATTTCAGCATCATTTCAATCATTTACTGTGTTTCTACTTACATTTCTTATGAGGGTCAAATTGACCCCCAATGGCGGTTTTCGGTTAGTCTGAAATTCGGCTAATAGTGTTAATAATATTCTTAAAACTATTACCTACTACACATAACTGTATACCCCAAATAAGATTTAGATAGTTAAACATAACTTAATTACATAACTGTTAGTAAGTTTGAGTATAAAATATACTTTATGAAATTTATCAAACAGCATTAAATAGTTTACACTTATAATAGTTCAGCATATTTGAAAGAAGATAAGTGACATTTTATTTATGTTTTACTAATAGTTATGTTTCATGTTGGATTTTTTTTTTTTTTTTTTAATGTCTCATTATTTGCTCAATCTAGAGGTTTAGTGAATAGCCCGGTAGATTTTATATCAAGCGTCATAGGTTAAAATGAGAAGTAAAATCATAATAAGAATGATTTATAACAAAAGACTGGCTGTTGTCACCGCTGTTCCTTGCCTAAAGACAGACCTGCAGACCAGAACAAAACTGAAAGGCCTAATGTGGTCACGATTAGCTAGTTTTTAAAGTTAGTTGGGCTCTATCTGTTGGAGTTAGTGTCATAGCTCCATGTAGAGTTCCAGGGATTAAAACCAAGTTAATATACTTTAAGGTGTCATAGCTCCATGCAGAGTTCGAGGAGATGTAATCCAGTTAATATACTTTAAGGTTCCAATAAGCCACTAAAGCACCAGAGGTGACACTAAGCTGCTATGCATTATTTTAGGTCTCACTAGATAAGAAGAATAAGTTTTACATGAATTTTTACATTTTTGTGTTTTACCTTGTACCACGCTAAGAAATAATGAAAGGCAATAACTCCCTTTAATATGCACAGATAATTTTTAAAGGTAAGCAGTTAAGTTATAAATTAAATTAGATAGTTAGATAACCTTAGTCATTATGGATTTACATCACCACTATTAAATTTTACCTATTTTTTTAACAATATTGATAAAAATACCTATTAAAATCACAATCTAATAAAATTTCACACTTTAAAATAAATGCAATTTATGTCATTGATTCTTCAATGATATTAGGATAATTATACATTAAAAGCTACAAAACATTTACGTTTTATAGCAACAACACTCAACAAAATATTTATGCTCCTTTTTAATTTGAAGCCTGGCCAGACATTTTGGCTAATTTATATCGATTTCCTTCTCTTTAAGCGTCTTTACTAAGAATTAGAAATTTCTCTCAATATTCAAAACCAATGTTCTTATTAGCTTCTGCGTGCTTTATCTCCTAAATTGTCACCCTCTCCACAATGTACCTATGAGGGTTTACTTGATCTGGTAAAAGTTAAATAATCCAAAAACTCTCAAAAGACGCGACAAATTATCGCTATGTCTCAAAGTAACTACAAAGTCAGACAAAGGTTTAAATAAGCCTCTTATTTAAAATGAACTTAAAGGTATATTCTTATGCTAACCAAATCAATTAAAGTTTGGGGTGATGTAATTAAACAAGAACAATCAAATTCAAACAAAAAAATGTGGACTAGTGGTCAAAGACTATACAATTTAATTTAATTTTAAGCTGGCTAAGTAACTCTACCATCATAACAAATTCAAATGTCGGCAGCAGTAATGCAAAGACGAATAATTACAAATTATTAGAGGCGGCAGGAACTAATGCAAGGAGCAAGTGGAGGTCAGAAACACACTCCTCTTACACTCCAAACACCTCAGTTTAAAAAATGTATAGGTGATTCCCCTTTTGGGGAAAAAATACAAAAAGGAAATTATAGTAAAAGCTGAAATTGTAAACAACTAGGTAATTTACATAATAATAACTGTACATATCTTTGAAGAATAATTTTATATATTCAGTTTCTTTTGTCTACATTTTCTTTCCATTTTAGAATTTTTGGATTTAATTAAATATTTCTTTTATTCTAAACAAAAACTAAATACTTTTAAAATGTATAGAAAAAGTTGCTAATTTTATTTCTTTAGTAATATTAGTTATTCACAAGAGATATGCAATATATATGGTAAGGGCTGGTTACAGAGCTGGTGCGGCAGAATTTTTAGAATTTAGTGACACACCCAGCAACAAAATGTAGAAATGGCAAAACTTTTAGAATTTAGAGCAGGCACTGGAAGCAGAATTTAGAAAGGCACTAGTCAGCAAAATTTAGGATCTACACAGAGAGGTTTAATATTCCCCGTGATTGCACTAGGTGGGAAAATGCCTAGCGTCAGACCAGTGTATGATGCATTAAGACATATTAGATGAATTTTTTAAATTGCCAGTTTTCAATTTCTTTATTAATCAAAAAATTCCTTTCTATAATGCCTGTCCATGTGATAAGATTAGAAGCATTTTTAATATTTTCCATACTTGTGTCTAGTGAAAAGTAGAGAAAATAAAGGGAAGATAAGCATGTTATGAAAAAGATTCTACTATCAGAAGTAAAACATTCAAGTATTATGTTTTCGTTGTTCTTCCAGATGCTATCCAAAAAGTAAGAAATTCATTGCAAACATTCTGTAAAATACATCCATTACGTGTTAATACCATAGTGACATTTTTCATTTTGTCACATTTTTCTAAAATCTTATGGAATCGTGGGTCTATAAATCTTGCCTTCAAATCTTTCTAAACTTTCCAAGTTGCATCCTTCTTCAAGTTGCAATCTCTAACGTCCTGAAGAAAAAATACACCTACCAGTTTTGTAACAGCAAACAGCCAGAAATATTTTGAAAAAAAAATCAGACGAAAAAAGTGTGAAATTAATTAATTAATTTTATAGAGAAAACTGATGCATATTCTGAGAATTCAGAATACTCTGAGACAATTACATGAAAAAACTGTTATCATGAAAAAAATTGAAAACATATTTTTAAATTAATATGTTACTTTTTAAATATAATTTCAATATAATACCATTGTTTTAATGAAATTTATCAATGTTAGAATGTTTAAAAAAACGTTGAAAAATTCCCAGCTCTTGGAATTTAAAATTTTCTATAGAAACTGATCTTAAAAATCGCCAAAACTTAGATCTTACTTAGAACCAAAACTTAGATAAGTCGCCAAACTTAGATCCGTTCAATAAAGAATTCACATCCCCCAAAGCGAAAAATTGTTTAAGAGCTCTTCATTAGAAAAAGTGAAATAATTTCGAAATACTTGTTTCACTTCTTGCTCAGAAACTCGAGTATCCCACCATTTATATTAGAAATAGGAACAAATCATAACCCATTAAAATAACCCTATTTATCAGTGAATTGCCAAAAATATACCTCCAAACTGCTAATTCACACTCAAAATGGCAGTCGCAAAAACAGACAGAAATTTCATATGACTAAAATTAAGGACCTTCTGCCGATTTTGGCCAAAATTAAGGACTTTTAAGGACCAAAAATCGATTCCAAAAAACTTAAAGACTTTTAAGGACCATACGAACCCTGTGTAAGGTTGTGACGGATGACAACCAAAGGTGTCCTACAATGAAATAAAACGGCACCCCAGACCATCACTCCTGGTTGTCTGCCAGAAGACAGGTTGGTATCACACCGCTGTCCGGGGCATCTCCAGACTCGCCTTCGCTGGTCATTGGAGCTCAGTTCAAAGCGGGACTGATCTTTCTGTCAGCCATCTATGAATGGTCCTTGCGGTCACTGAAGCACTAGTTGCACATACAATCGATGATAATGATGCATCAGGGGCTGTAAGTGCCGCTCTGACGATTGCTCAGTCTTCCCGTTCTGTCGCTTCTCTAGGCCTACCGCTGCCTTCTTGACGCTGTGTGTGGCTAGGCTTCACCCATTCCCGTCAACATTGTCTTATAGTGGCATCTCTCCTGCTCAAATGTCTAGCTATTCACTGATAAGACCAACTGGCTTCTTTGAGTCAAACTACACGACCTCTCTCAAATTCTGACATCTGCGCATATCATTCATGCACATGTATACAAGGCATAGTTACTGTCTACCAGAGTACACGGAATGAAATTCATGAAGAATTTATGACTTGGAATCGTAATTTCTCCTCTTAAATATCCTGCCAGTTGCTTAGATCAGAGGCACTGTAGCAATAACCATTAATTCATTGGCAGCCAAAATGTAAAATTTTGCATTTTCCGTTGAAACCTGTACACATATCAACTTGTGTCTAATTTGCTTTATATCTTCTCGATGCGTCGTGGTACACCTTTTTTTTTTTTTTTTTTTGTCTAAGAGTGTATAACTATAATTTCACTGGCTGTAACAGTGTAAATACTGGCAACATAGATTTTTGTTTTATCACAAATTTTTTTGTTTGGTAGAAAATGCTTCTTTTTATTATTATTTATGAACTGAAACTACCCAGAAATGATAAACAACAAACGTCTTTCTCCAGTTTACAAAGTCATCAATGATTTGCTGACTTTTGTGGGTGTACAATTAATAAAAAATCTGATATGAACACCACACAACTTCCTTGTACGGAATGTGAAATTATACGCAATTTTCCTGTATTTCATTTAAATATGCTGAATTAACAGTTAGCGAATTTTGAATTAAATCTACTTTGTGGACAGCGCATAAACCACAATAGAATAAATGCACTCTTTAAAGTTCACTATATTTATTTACCATTTTAGTAGTTTATTTAGTAGTTTAAAGTGTAGCTACTAGTTGTGCTCTGTGATACTGTGAAGAGCTGAATAAGTATTTTTGTGGAACGTTAAAGACTCTGAAGTGTTTGTTTTGGTAAAATAACAAGCTATCAGTTCTATGAGCATTCGATCTATTACGAACCCGTACGCACGCAACAATATATATGTAATACAGTCAAAAGTCTTTAATCCGGACTCATCGGGACTTCGGCGATTCCGGATTATCGATTTTTCCGGATTATAGATCATCAGTTTAAATCTGGTAAGATGGCATGCAGAAATTATACAATTAAAAATATTAAATCGTAATTTATGAAATAAAGTGCAATAGTGATCTAAAAAGTATCAAAATTTACAAAAAAAAAAAAAAAAAAAAAAAAAAAAGCTTAATACTTATTTGTCTACTTTATTAAACATTTCTTTCAACCCGCACATGCGTAAATTGAGTCGAAATTAGAAAACTGGAACCAGAAAACTTTTTTATGCATATTCGTGATATTTATAATGATGAGGAAATTAATTTAAATCATATCGGAGTACATCGAGATGAAACACTACATTTAATAAGGAATTATAAGCCAAATAAAATAAAAACATCTGCCCTGAAGATGAGGATAGTGATGACAGATCAACTTCCAGTTCATTGCGCGCCGCAACATTCCCCCCCCCCCTTGCAGAGCAGCATGAAATTGATAAACAGATTTTGCAATGGTTAGAGAAACAAATCACCTCTCTGTCACTTTCTTCATGCCTTTATCCATTTTTTGCAGCAATTCCACTTTTTGTTTAATGTACATCAAAACATGCTTTCACTTTGTAGATGCTTTGACAGCTCCAGAATCGGAAATTCTATTTGACCATAATCAAGTTCAAGCTTAAGTTCAAGATTACTTTTATAAAATTGCTCTAACAGTCTTCAAAAAATAATAAGCCGGACCCAATTCAAAGATTAAGGAACAACGCAATCTGCAACATTAACTGAAATAGATAATTAGATAATTTTAGCTTAGCTTATACCGTCTGTTATACATTAAACACACATGCATAAATGTATTATGCACATGCATAAAGGTAGCTTTGAGCTTTGTAGCTTTGAGGTCCGGATTAAAGAATTTTGACTGTATAGTGAAACTTCCCTCAATTACTATCTCGGAAAGCAGTCAATTATTTTTGACAACATGATTAAATAACAGTACTGAACATTAATAACAGTAATAATTATGTTCTCTAAAGTGACCATTGCCACAGAAGACCAAAATCATACAAAACTATGTATGGTCAACTTTGAGGAATCTTTCTATTATATAAAAATAAACTATTATGAATTCAAAAAGATATCGGTTATTAAAACAGAAATCGAAATCTGCCAAGAATTGCAAAACCATCTTTAGTCATATTCCACATATTTAGGAGTAGGAGAATTCATGAACTTGAGAGGAAAAACAAGACATACACCTTGCAAATTGTAAAAGCTGTAAACTTTCTCATCAAACAGAATGAAAGAGATGTTCTTTTTAGTAAGTTCATATCTAGATGGCTATCATCAACCATGTTTGCCAATGCATCTTTTAACTTTTCAAAAGCACTTAATACAAAATATATCATTCACATACCTTTGCAGCAGGTTGTACATCAAGATGGCCATATGCACAAATTGTTTTCTTTTTTGGATCCTTTCCTAAAGTACCTAAGAGTACTGGAGGTAAAGGTATAGTACTGCCATCAGGTAAAGTTTCTTTTCCAACGTCAACCAATGTGACTTCTGCCCCTTCATTTTCCAAATACTAAAACGATAATTTCAGAGATAAAGGATGAAATACAGAAAAAATTAAAATTTAGTCTTATAAGATACACAAAATATCTAGATCATAATGATAATAAATTATTAAATACAAAGCAAAAATGAAAATTAAAAAAAAATACTATATAACTGATTTAAAATGCACATAAAGCTGCAGTAATGTAAAAAAGCAGTTAAAAATACAAATTTGATTATATAAACTAAAAGAAAGCATTTAAAAATGTGTCCTTTCTTCAATCAAAGATAGTTACAAAAGTATATAAACACAAAAGTGAAAATAGGAAAAATGTATAAATAATGGGAGCAAACGGATTTGACAAAACGGAAAATTTTTAAATACAAAATATAAGACTATACACACATATATGTAATAATATAGAAGAAAAGACATATATTTGCTAGCATGGGCAGTAAAACAATTATTTCTTAATAAAACATTGGTTTAGTTCTGGATGAACACTCTTGATGCATTACTGATAAATAGGTGCACCTGTTTTTGAAGAACTTTAAGATGCTGTGGTTAGGAAAGCAGTGACAGCAAACCTATACTAGTTAATAAATTTTTAGTTATTATTGGTTGAAGCATTTACATAAGAGTTCATGAGCATTATACAAAAACTATACATGCAAATAAATATGCATTAGTTTTGAAATGATGCAGTTTAGAGAAATTTATTATAAGCGGCTTCTGTTTCTATGATTATATCCCCTGGTGTAATTCTTATAAATATCTTGGATTCTCAATTAATTTGGCATCTATGCTCAAAACAAAGGTCCGAATTATTTTCATCATTCACTTGGAAGAACCATCTGTCAAGCAAAAACAAAACTCTTCTTTATACATCAATTATAAAATCAATCCTTACGTATGCATATACCAGCAGGGATACCGCTGCTAAGACACGTATTATGAACTTTAAGTAATATCTGGCATAATACTTTCAAAAACTTGCTGAAAGTATTACCTTGCATTTAGCCCTTAATGCACCCTGGTATATTCATAATGATATGATTCGTTCTGACCTAAACATCAAGTCCATTGATGTCTTAATTAAAAGACTTAGCCAAAGTTTAATTTTCCAAAATCAAACAGACTGTTAATCATGCACTTCAATCCATGCCAGTTTGGTATCAATGAAAATCATCGATAGGCAGTTCAGCTCAATGTCCTCATTCTGTGATTGTACAGAAACTTCCCACCACCTAGAAGACAATGCCCTCTCAACTTCAGTTCCAACTATGACCCTATCAATGATGGATACCGCTGCCACAGTCAGTCCATTCTACTTTACAGAAATGCTCATCTGCTATCTTTACCACTTCTCCATCCTATGTCAATAAGAAAAATCATTTTACATTATTATCAATCTGTTTGACCTACTTTTCAGATGAATTCCCACAGACTGAATTCTGCCACGGATATTTTCAGGTGTTTACCAATATACTCTTATATTTATAATTTTATGACCTATTAATCATAAACTCTTTCTTATTCGATTTCATCCTTAATCTTGTATTTATGTTTAAAAAGCTTAAAATTATAATTCAAAAAACCCCTCCTTCGCTGCTTTCTAGAAACACAAGTTCCACGAACATTCTAATGACATACTCATGTGATGAGGAATTTGATCAAGACTAGAATTCATGCAAGATTTAAAATTATGCTTCAGATCTGCATTACTTAGATAAAAAAATAAATTCCTAATGATAATATAGGATGAGTAAGCTGAAAATATGACTTAATAAAATGAAAACTGAATTCATAAATTTAAATAAAATTTGAAAATTATAGACAGTTTTGCAATAATTATGCAAAAAACTTGAAAACAATAATAATGTTTCGAAATACCCAGCCACACTAAGACAGCTTCCCCACAAAGCAGGCACCAGAAAATGGCAAGGGAAGGCAGGGTTGTCATATTTGGCGCAAAACTGCGCAATTGGCAAAAAAATTGGTGATATGAATAGACGGATGGAGAACCTTCTGGAACAAATTCTTACCAGTTTGGCCCAGAATGTTCTCGAACGTAGCCCAAAAGCTATATAAACCCTGCCTTGCACATGGACAGAGCCTAGTCAATCAGTTAAATGTCAGTCCAGTCTCGAATTGGTCATTGGCTGTATCATGAGTTGGTGCATAGAGAGTGTGCATTGTTAAGGCTATTGAGTGTATAGTCTAGTGCTTCGCAAGCTGTAGTATGGAGAGTCTCGAGAGTACGTAGTGTTCCGAGAACAACTGAATCAAGTCGGGAGCTGTATTCTAGTGCTTTGTCGTGAAGCCATCTTCACCGTTATAGCCTGATAGCTACGCTGCTGATTGTTTCAGCATGTTTGCCATTTCAACGACTGTAAACATGTTTGTGGAGCTATCCTGAATAGCTAATAAATTGTATTTTGATACTTCATCAAGTGCTGTTCTCGTTTTTCACTCCAAATCCACACACCCCTGTGTAAGAAGAAAATGTAACAACTTTTATCAAGAGTGAGGCTTGAACTGAAGGAAGTAGCTAATGAACTGGCCGAGAAAGGTCAAGAAATGAAGGATGAAACATCTAATAAAATTGAAGAAACAGAACGAAATGATGAAGAAATGAAAGACAGAAAAGAAACTTACGATTCTGAAGTGCTTGAAATACAAGTGGAAGAAAGAAAAATTACGACTGTTAGTTCCATAGACGCTGACAGTGGAGTTACGAAGTCACAGACAGTAAGTATTGAACCATCTGAAAATGCATCTGATGCAGAGATGAGAGAAGCTGATGTACAGCTTAAGCAGAGTGTTCCAGTATTGCAAGAAAATACATCCACTTCACAAATTAAGTGTATGTCTCACAGTGCAGGTTGAGCAGACACGGATTTGATTCTAAACCATGATACTTCTGCTTGAAAAGAATTGAATTCTGTTCATAACTCTAATGCAAACATCGAAACTGGTTTTCAGAAAATAGAGGAAAATAAATATGTACCAATTGCTAAAAATACCGAGGTGAATTGCACGCATGATGCAAATAAACTACAGACTGCTGAACAAACTGTTTCAAATCTTCTTGTGGTTTAGCCCGGGTATAACTTAATGTATTTTTTGTTTGTTTCATTACCTTTTGTTTGTTTGTATTGAATTTGGCTTCTGACCAAGGATGTTACTGCCCAGGACGTGCAGTCCTCCTTGGGAGGGGGCAGTGTTACAAAATGCCCAGCTGTGGTAAGATAGCTTCCCTGCAAAGCGGGTTTAGTGTTGCCGAAAAATGGCAAGGGAAGGCAGGGTTGCCATATTTGGTGCAAAATTGTCCATTTGGTGGCAAAATTGGCAATATCCCACAGACGGATAGACAACCTTCTGGAACAAATTCTTACTGGTTTGGCTTAGAATGTTCTTGAATGTAGCTATATAAACCCTGCCTGCACATGGAGTAGCAGTCAGTCAGTCAGTGCCTATTCCATCGAGTTGATTGTCAGTCCAGTCTCGATTTGGTACATCGAGAGCACGCATCGAGGCTATCGAGTGTATCCTCTAGTGCTTCATGAGCTGTAGCATGGAGAGTCTTGAAAGTACGTAGAGTTCTGAGAACAACTGAAACGAGTTGGAAGCATTATTCTGGTGCTTTGTCATGAAGCTGTCTTCACCGTTATACCCTGATAGTTGTGCTGTTGATTGTTTCAGCATGTTTGCTGTTTCAACAACTGTAAACGCGTTTTTGGAGCTGTCCTGAGTAATACTAGCTAATAAATTTTGTTTTGATACTGCAAGTGCTGTTCACGTTATTCACTCCACATCTACGATTACATAAGAAAAACATAACAATAATAATAATGTGCAATAGAACATAAAATCATGTTATACAGTACAAAGTCTTTAATCCGGACGTCCATAATCCGGAATGATCTATAATTCTGACCTCAAAGCTACAAACTTTCTGCAGATGCGTAAACGCATAATGCCTTTAAGCATGCACATAGTACCTTTACACATGTGCATAATACGTTTACGCATGCACGTTTAATGTATAACAGACGGTATAAGCTAGTCTAAAATTATCTAATTATCTATTTCAGTTAATGTTGCAGATTGCATTGTTCCTTAATCTTCTAATTGGACCCGGCTTATTATTTTTTGCACACTGTTACAGCAATTTTATAAATTATTTGAACTTTCGATTATGTCAAAAAGAGTTTCCAATTCTGGAGCTGCCAAAGGAATTACAAAGTGAAAGAATGTTTCGATGTCCATCAAACAAAAAGTGGAACTGCTGCAAAAAAATGGATCAAGGCATATCCATTGTTTCTCTAACCATTCCGATATCTGTTTATCAATTTAACGCTGCTCTATCGAGGGGGATGTTGCAGCGGGCAATGAACTGGAAGTTGATCTGTCAGCACTATCCTCATCTTCAGGGCAGATGTTTTTATTTTATTCGGCTTTATAATTCCTTACTAAATGTAGTATTTCATCTCGATGTACTCCGTCTTTGACATGATTTAAATCAAATTCCTCGTCATTATAAATATCATGAATACACATCAAATAGTTTTCTGGTTGCAATTTTCTAATTTCGACTATGCATAATGTGTGCTTTACGCATGCACGCATTAAAGAAATGTTTAATAAAGTAAACAAATAAATATTAAGCTTTTTTTTTTGTAAATTTTGATACTCTTTAGAACATAATTGCTCTTTATTTCATAAATTACGTTTTCATATTTTTAATTTTATAATTTCTGCATGCCATCTTACTAGATGTAAATTGATGATCTATAATTCCAGAAAAATGCCTAATCAGGAACGCCAAAGTCCCGACAAGTCCGGATTAAAGACTTTGTACTGTAGTATATTTCAGGACTTCATGGAAAAATCATGACATAATATATTCTAGAGTTTTACTATACATAAATCAATGTTTTCACTGTATAAAAAATTTTCGACACAGCACGGGATTCAAATGATCAATTTACAGCTATGTCCTATTATTCTGAATAAATAAAAATTTATAAGCTACTGAAATACATAAACTGAAAAAGAATTAAATCCATTTTTAATAATAGTGGCAAAATACTCCACATCCACCCTTGTTAACCCCTTCACGCCTACTGTCACGTATACGTGCCAGCAACGAACGCACTTATCTACCGGCCGACACGCAGGCGTGCCAGAGCAATGTAGCGTTTTCTACCGAATGTCACGTATTTGTGCCAGTACCTTGGAACGTTTTTCAAACTATAATTTCTGCCACAAGATGGCACTGTATGCCCATATGGCTTCAGATACATGTACATTAGAGCTTCTACTCGAAATGAGAGAAGCATGACTCACATACACGTGTTTTTGATTATATAAACAAACGGGGAACTAAATGTTTCCGAATGGCATGATTTATGACGTCTCTTTAATCGCACTTTATTCGCACGTGGTAGTTGTTTATTGTAAGTAGAAGTTTTATATGCGCTAAAGCGTTGAGTATTTCGGTTTACAGTTCAGTTTTTAGAAAATAATTAGATCTTGTTAGACGTGAATTCTTTCTGTTTTACCGTTTCAATGTCGAAGCGTCGAAAATGTTCAACAGAGCATGAAATAGCAGAAATGATGCAAAATATTTCAGATATTGATTCTGAAATTCTGATATTGATTCTGAAAGATTAACTGAAAGACATTTTCCAAAACTTTGTTCAGAAGAGACTGATAAGAAAATGAGACGATGATGCTTCGTTTGTTCACATTCCCGGAAAAATCCTCTAAAACGGCAAATGAGTTATTACGAGTTCAAGGAATGTAACGTAGGACTGTGCGTAGATCCCTGTTTTAAAATTTTTCATACGAAAAGAGAATTTTAAGTAATATATTTAGTTTTCAGATGTATAATGTTAAAAGTCATAAAATGGTGAGTAATTAAAATAAAATGTGTAAAATATGCATTTAAACAAGAAATAAGGTAATTAAAGTATATATATAAAAATATCTATAAAGCATAAGCTGTTTAAATACTCTATAGAGCATTATTAAACAATGCATTGATACTTCGTAAATTTTCATGGATTTAGGCTTAGTAGCAAAAAAGCTCCCGGCCCTGAGAGACGCTCGCGGAAGACACTGCCGGCCTCCGCGATAAGCGCGCGTTTTCACTACCAGGCTCAAAGGGGTTAATAAAGAAAACGATCTCAGATTCAGAAAAATAAAAATCTTGGACTTGATCTACTGAAGAAAGCTACACTGATATTTAAGTAAAAGTCATCACACTTTCAGTTTGAGATTTAAATTACCTAGAACCACAATAAATAATCATGATTAATGGCACTTATTGGAGAAGTTAAACAAAAAGAATCAAGGTAATGTTTATAAATTTTGGAGGACAAGTTTTGATGGTTTAAATACTAGAATGCAAATGCAAATGAATAAGATAGAATATGGTGATAAGACAAGAATGACTTGAAGGAAGTCAAGCTACTGGCATCATCTATTGATGACACAAGAAAACTAAAACATAATTTCCTTGTAGGATTGGAATTAGAGTCATTAACTAGAACAGAAAGATCTTTTTGAATGTGAAATGTCTAGAAAAGTCTTATTCACCAACAGAAGATGTTTTTTGAATAATTTTGGCTGCAGAAAATGGAAAGTGTGCTTTTCTGATCAACAGTGCTGGACAACAAAGGATTTCTGCGTTTCCTCTTCCTAATATATGCCTTATGTTTTTTAATGTGAAATTGAAAGGCTCTCTTAGTTTGACCAATGTAAAATTAAACTACATTGACAAGGAATCCTGTAAATTATACGGGAATTTATATCCAGAATGGGGTCCTTAAGTATGGAACTGGGAATTGAATTGACAAAAGGGGGAAAAAAAAAAAAGACCCGAATGTTAAATTTCTGTTAATTACATGTAATTTTATAGCTAATTGATAGAAAGAAAGGAATGACAACAGAATTCTTATAATCTCCTAAAACAAGAGGTTGCCTTTTGATGTGTTGGGATGAGAATTTTTTAACTGCTTGGTCAATAATGTTAGAAGAAAAGCCCCTGTCAATAAACAACTGCTTTTAAGTAATTTAGCTCTTCACCAATTTGAAAGAACTTTATTTAAGTCATCTCTTACCATTGGTTAGTTAGATTTTCTAGAGGTGTTTCGCATTCAAAAAAAATCTTTCTGTTCTAGTAAACGACTCTAATTCCAATCCAGTTTTACCGTCACCCTTCAAGGAAATTATATTTTAGTTTTCTGGTTTCATAAATAGATGGTGCTAGTAGCTTGACTTCTTTCCAGTCATTATTATCTTACCATCATATTCTATCCCGTTCATTTGCACTTAGGCAGCTGAAGAGAATGGGTCTGTATTTAAACCATCGAAACTTGTCATGCATAATTTACAAACATTATGCTGATTCTTGTAGTTTAACTTTTCCAATGCTAGTTATTTGGCATGTTGTTTTAACCTAAATTAATGAAACTATTAAAGAATTAGTTTGACTGGAATTTAAATCTAAACTTCACTCTTAAATCCTGATAAACACAGGCCATTTTGTTTATTATACTAACTATGAGCTATTTCACTTAAATTTCTAAGCGTGATTCCATTTTCTCTGGAAAACATTTTTCCCTTTTTGAAAGGGAATGCTAAGCTTATTAGCGAGATTGTTTCTCATGAATAAGTTTTTCACTATTGGAAAAAATGCCAGAAACTGCACTTGAGTATCATTAAGACAATTTTAAGATGCAAACAAACAGTGTAATACACTAAAACAGCTTCTAATAATTCACTAATTAATATAAAATGAACTTATGTGAATGAATAATTATTAGAACACATGGTTGATCATATAATAACATACTCATGTTTTTTTTTTTTTTTCTTTTGCTTCAAGTTAAAAGATTATACCAATGGATAATGAGACTATAAAAGTGTAAATAATTAGATTATAAAAATTATAAGACTATGAGAATAGATAATTTTTTTTTTTTTTTTTGAGTATAAATGATTGAATAAAACATCTTAAATGTCTACGTTAAAAATCACATTAAATAGTTTTACTAAAAAAGGCACATCAAACATGAAAATCAAATAATTAATCATCATACAATCATCCTGTTTCACACCTGAAGAGAATAGAAGAGTTTTAGGTACTATTTGGTTTTGAGAGCCGTAAAAAATCACCAAACTATTATTGATGCCAGTGCTGCCAAAAATAATTGCGGCAACCTTAACGCAAGAAAGGAAGTATAATAGTAAATAAGATTGATGTTTTAATTCAGATGAAAAATTAATTTCATATAATACTTTTTTATTACTATAATTTATATAAAAAAAGGCTAAACATGACTGAATGGAAGCATAAGAGTAAATAACTATTTTAGATCATTATTATAATTTATATAAAAATTGCTAAACATAACTGAATGGATTTATTTTATAAAAAGTATAAAATAAATCCATGCCAAAAAGTATAAAATAAATCCACTGCCTGCATCGCTATTTCGCTACTGAATTATCGCTAAAGCATAATTTCACCTCACATATTGTTCAAACATAATTTTCTATAATGAATGATGCCTTTTCTTTGAAAAAATTCTCAGTAAAGTGCAGAATTGCCCACTTATTTGTTTGCCACTTTTTACAAGGGTAAAAACAATTGGATTTTAGTCAATTTTCTTTTACTTTTTAAGTGAAAATAAGTTGATGCGTACATAGATAAAGTAAAGGGTGTGCGCAGTGCCATTTTTGTGCAATTCTAGGATTTTTTTTTAAGCAAAAATAGGTCAATGCGCACATGGATACCGAGTATGTGCAGTTCTTAAAAACGCGTCAAGCAGTGGATGATTCTGCACTTAACACAAAATTCTATTGCCGACTTTTCATCATGGGCAATTCCCAAATTGTTAAATCCATAGGATATCAAAAAAGAATTTAAAATCAAAAAAGGATTTAAAAATTAAACTAGTATTTCAATGGCAACTTAAGAAATATAGAACTATATAAACTTATGCAATCTGAAATCAGCGCGTACGCTAGATTTGGCACGCTGTTAAATGGGCGTGTTTGCTAGATTTGGCGCTTTCGCACATACGTTTTCACTGCAATTTTTTTACGGCCCTCAAAAACGAATAGTACCGATTTTTATTTATTAACTAACCTGATACTTATATGTCCTTTAAAAATACATTTTTTATAAAATAAATTAAAATAGTGGATGCAATTAAATTTATCACAATTATACACATGGTATGATTTTTTTTGTTAGCATAATTATTAAATTTAATATTCAAATGCTGCTGTGATTAATCCTAATGACAGTTAAGAATTTATTATTTGAAGAAAATACATAAATTCTTTTTACCTTGGCTACCCATTGAACCATTTTTAATATTTCCCCACGAACCTCCGGCCATGCTGAAACACTTTTTATGCCCACAGCTTGTCTTAAGTTATCAATGTAGTCCTTCTGATGTGCATCTATATAACTAAAATATATGCATATAAACATCATGTAATCAACACTAAGTAAACATATAATAGAGTACACACATTAGAATTACATATCACTAACACTTGAGATTCAGAATCAAACACTACAGCATTTAGGAAATTGATGATTACAAAAATATTCCCGAATTCTTTGCTACACAGTATATTTCTTTTAAAACCTGTTTAAAAAATTTTTCATAAAATTCTGAGTTTAAAATTGAAAATGTAAAAGATAAGCCAAAAGTTTTTTTCTGAACTTAATGAAAAGAATATTATCTTATTTGATCAAACATTACTAAGTATAATATAATATCCTTACGCATGAATGGTATTTAAATTTCTAATTGAACATTAATATTACAGCTGAAAAGCTAACAAAAACCAAGTACCAATGCTTTTGATTAAAATAGTAGCACTATAATTACATATTTTTGCCCTAGTAATAAATACATAACTATAAAAAGACATTTAAATTCCTACATGTACTATTTTATGTAATTTTAAGTTGAAAAATTAACCGATTATCTTATGAAAATGAAAATACAAATTTATAGTTCTAAAGCAACTAAATTAACACTGCTTTGTAATAATTTAATGATTGATTAATATTGCACACATTTATAAAATTTTTCTCTGATCCTTTCACATTAAATAATAAAAAATCAAAATAATAAAATAAATCGAACTATTAATCAAATACAGTGCCCAAAAAATTTAGATTGGCATAGATTTCATACCTGTAATACATACATACAGATGTATTAGAGAGAACAAAACATTAATTTTAGGAAACAAAGAAAAATTATATTATCCTGTAAAGTTTTTTTAAATTTAATGTAAAGAAAAAGTCAGATACTATTAAATTTTATAACGAATTATAAAGCAAACTGAATTAATTAGTAAAATGAAACCAGTTAAAATTTACAAAAATTGCAAATTAATGATTCAAATTTTAAATTTTCAAATCGACTCATCGGTGGGTAATAACATCAAAACCCTAACAATTAAGGAGTTTCATTCCTGTCGACTATTGCTGCATAAAACTGAAAATACAAAAATAAAATTCTAAAAACAAAATTACAAATAAAACTCAAAATGCTACTTAAAAATATTTGCACCCTTACTCAGAGTCAAAAGATTACTCCAACACGCTTTCAGTTCTGAAAAACTTAAAACAAAATTACAAAATCAAACTTTTTAATTTTTAATACGGTTAGTTTATATTTTAGGGTACCCCTTGGATTATTGCCAAGTTGTTGTCTTATTTATGGTAGCCTGAGTAGTTTAATGTTATGGAAACCCTATATGACATGATTGGTTGTAATGCGTGATTGCGGTGATTTTGACTGTTGCGAAAATATTTGTAAGGGCTTATTTATGTATTGGATGTTGGTTAGGAAGTCTGTTGCTCATTTTGTGTTTTACACCATAAAATGCCTGCTGATGGTATGATTAACCTAAAGTTTCTGTACACTTTTGGAACGACTGGGAAAGAAAACCTTGACTGATGTGCCAATGAAGATTTAAATTGCTTCGTTTACATCTCGGTAAACTGCACAGTAAGATTTAAGGATTTGTAAACTGGAGCTCATATCAACACTATGGAAGGTATGTGGGTTGTAATAAAAAGGGATTTTCGAAAGAAATGCCACTGGCAGTCAGGAGGATATTTTTCATTTTTACTTGTGTGAATTTATATGGCAACGGCAGTATACAGATTTTAGCTTAGATAATTTTAAATAGTTTTTGCTACAGCCAAGTCTTTAATCCGGAATGATCTATTATCCCAACCTCAAAGCTACAAACTTTCTGCGCATGCTCGTTTAATGTATAACGGACGGTATAAGCTAAGCTAAAATTATCTAATTATCTATTTCAGTTAATGTTGCAGATTGCATTATTCCTTAATCTTCTAATTGGATCTGGCTTATTATTTTTGCAGACTGTTAGAGCAATTTTCCAAAAGTAAGCTTGAACTTTCAATTATGTCAAAAAGAATTTCTGGTTCTGGAGCTGCCAAAGGATCTACAAAGCGAAAGCATGTTTCGATGTTTATCAAACAAAAAGTGGAATTTCTGCAAATAAAATGGATAAAGCCATAGCCTTTGTTTCTCTAACCATTCCGAAATCTGTTTATCAATTTCATGCTGCTCTGCAGGGGGGGGGGGGACGGCGCGGTGCGCAATGAACTGGAAGTTGATCTGTCAGCACTATCCTTATCTTCAGGGCAGATGTTTTTATTTTATTCGGCTTATAGTTCATTACTAAATGTAGTATTTCATCTCGATGTACTTTGATATGATTTAAATCAAATTCATTATAAATATCCCGAATACACTTCAAATAGTTTTCTGGTTGCAATTTTCTAATTTCGACTATGTGTAATGTATGCTTTACGTATGCGCGCATTGAAAGAAATGTTTAATAAAGTAAACAAATAAATATTAAGCTTTTTTTTTTTTGTAAATTTTGATACCCTTTAGATCATAACTGTTCTTTATTTCATAAATTACGGTTTTGTATTTTTAATTTTATAATTTCTGCATGCCATCTTACCAGATTTAAACTGATGATCTACAATCCAGAAGAACCGATAATCCGGAATCGCTGAAGTCCTAATGAGTCCGGTTTAAAGACTTTTGACTGTATTAAGGAATTCTGCGTGTTACACATGCCGAAAAAACAGATATTTTTAAATAAGGTAAGTCAATATTTCTTTTTTGTAATGCGTAGATTAGTTAACATGCATTTGCATTCTTATGTTATGTTTTGTTTGATTTAAAATGCAATTTATTAAGATTACATATTTTTTGTTTTAATTATATTTTATTGCATTATGTTATTGACGCCATTTTACTGGGGAGGGCATTAGATGTAAACATGAATGGCACCAAAAAATCGCCAATTTACTCTGATGTATATTTTTACCTTTAATATTGACTTATTTTCTTTTTATAAAATTGAAAATGTAAGGAGGCATAGATAAATCACGCTATAAAAGAGATCATACACCAAAACATTTTCATAAAATTTCATAAATAAAATTATCGGTACTATTCGGTTTCGAGGGCCGTAAAAAATCGCCAAACTATTGTTGATGCCAATGCTGCCAAAAATAATTGCAGCAAGAAAGAAAGTATAATAGTAAATAACTATCTAAGATTGATGTTTTAATTAGATGAAAGGTTAATTTCATATAATACTTTTTATTATTATAATTTATATGAAAAAGGCTAAACATGACTGAATGGAAGCATAAGAGTAAATAACAATTTCAGGTCATTATTATAATTTATATAAAAATTACTAAACATAACTGAATGGATGCCTGCATCACTATTTAGCTACCGATTTATCGCTAAAGCATAATTTCATCTCATTGGTTGTTCAAACGTAATTTTCTATAATGAATGATGCCTTTTCTTTGAAAATATTCTCGGTAAAGTGCAGAATCGCTTACTTATTCGTTTGGCGCTTTTTACAAGGGTAAAAACAATTGGATTTTTGTAAATTTTCTTTTACTTTTTAAGTGAAAATGGGTTGTGTACATAGATAATGTCAAGGGTGTGCGCAGTGCCATTTTTGTGCAATTCTATGATTTTTTTTTTCTAGTGAAAATAGGTCGATGTGCACATGGATGAGTATGTGCAGTTCTTAAAAATGCGTCAAGTAGTGGATGATTCTGCGCTTTACCCAAAATTCTATTGCCGACTTCTCGTCATTAAATTTAAAAAAATTATTTAAAAATTAAACTAGTATTTCAATGGCATCTTAAGAAATATAGAACTACGTAGCGTATTCGGAAACTAAGTACCGTTTCATTCTAGTGCCGTCGCAGCGCAGTGGTAGGCGTCCCGCGCATGCACACTAGTCTTTCTTGTTCACTGACTTTCAATTGTCGCCATTTTGGTTGCTCTATGTTGTGTTTTCAGTTTGCTGTGCACATTCAAAATGTTTAAGATAATTAGTTCTCCCGCTGACTGTGAGATTCGTGCCATGATTAAATTTTTGAAAGCGAGGAATGTTAAACCGGCCGAAATTTATCGTCAAGTGACAGAAGTTTACGGTGAATACGCGATAAGTGATGGAATGGTGAGAAAGTGGGTAAGAATGCTTAATGCAGGTCGAACAAATGTCCACGCTGAGGCTCGGAGTGGTCGGCCTTCTGATGTCACCGATGATTTAGTAAGGAAAGTTTGATGAAGCTATTCATGAGAACAGACGCTCACAATGACAACTTTCAGAGGCATTCCACAAATTTCACGTACTTTTTTGTTTCGAAATTGTGTCTGACCACTTGAATTATCGCAACTGTGTTCCCGATAGGTTCCAGAAATGCTCACTGATGTTCACAAAATAAAGCGACTTGGTAGTGCCCTGACATTTCTACGCGGTACAGTGATGAGGAGAAAACTTTTTAAACAAATTGTGACAGGTGATGAAACTTGGGGTATGTCATTTCACACCAGAATCGAAACAACAATCGATGGAATGGAGACACACTCATTCTCCCAAAAAAAACAAAAGTTCAAAGTGACAATGTCATCAAAAAATCGTGCACTGTCTTCTGGGATAGGAAAGGCGTTTTGCTTACTGAATTTCTTCCCAGAGGGTGAAACCATTAATGCGGCACAATATTGTGAGACTTTAACAAAACTAAGGCGTGGCATTCAAAACAAACAAAGAGGAATGCTCAGTAAGGAATTGTGTTGTGCCCATGACAATGCTCGGCCCCATACTGCTGGTGTCACTCAATCGTTAATTCGACAGTTTCATTGGGAGCAGTTCGACCACCCACGAACAGCCCAGCCCGGACTTGGTGCCGTCGACTATCACTTGTTCCTGCACATGAAGCGCAAGCTGGTGGCGAGCGCTGGGATCTGACGATGACATGAAAAATGGTGGAGTTGTGTTATCGAAACTGGCGGGAAGTTCTTTGATGATGGTACAAAAACTGGTCACCCGCTATGACAAGTGTTTGATTCATTGGCGGAAA